GGACGGGCTCATGGGAAATACTCCATTGCAGCCACTCCCGCCCCTTGCTCACGCCCATCTACCGCTCCTCACCTCCTTCCTCAAACACGGCCAGGATGTCGTCGCCACAATCAGCTCGACCCTCGTCACCCAGCTCGGCCTGCCGCCCGACGCCTTCACCTCGCTGCAGGCCCCCACCAAGCCCTCGGGCACCGTCATCCGGCTCCTCAAGGCGTTCGCCAGCCCGGCCCTCGCGGCCCTCCGCACGAGCATGATCCACCACACCGACTTAGGGCACAGTCACGTTGCTCGCGAACGTGCTCGGCGGGCCTGCAAATCCTCGCGCCGGGCTGCACCCCCGCGGATGGTGGCGACGCCGCGTGGCTCTGGGTGCGCCCGCAGCCCGGCTGTGTGATCGTGAATCTGGGCGACGCGATGTGTGCAGTGGACGGGCGGGCTCCTCCGGAGCGCTGTGCATCGCGTCAATCATGCGCCGGGCCTGCAGCGCTTCGAAAATCGTACAGCTTCGCGCTCTTAGTCAGGCCGGAGCGGGGATGCGCCCATGCGGCGGTTGGTCGGCGAGGACGGCGGACACGGATGGTGAAGATGCTGGTTTGACCGCCTGGGAGTGGGAGGTTGAAGAAGCACCGGAAGATGCTTCGTGTATAGTTCATCGCGCGCGCTGCAAGCCCCAGCTCCGCGAAGAGGATTGATCCTCCACCTCGGTGAGTTGCACCTACATACCCCATTCCGGCAGCTGGTAGCACAAAAGATGAGACATCGAGACATTTGCCACGTCAGTCAGACTGGCGAGTGCGTTAAATCGCACTCGCCGTGGAGGACGTTATCTACGCATTCACTGATTTCCCCCTCCCCCTCCCCCCTCCCCCTTTCTCTGCTTCGAAAACCTCCCTCTGCGCAGTCATGCTAATACGTTATTGCAGTGCTATCTTGATTCCAGGGGCAGCACCTATCTGCTGTTGACAAGCTATCCGCGACGGTCTCTCTCGAGCATTCTGGCCGTCGGTTTATTCGAATCGTGAGTTCACTCCTCGATACCTCCCCAACCGCCGTTTTAGCACAGAAGATGAGACATCGAGACATTTGCACGTCAGTCAGACCGGCGAGCGCTTGCGCCCGTCGTGGAGGACGTTATCTACGCATTCACTGATTTTTTTTTTCGTTTCGTTTCGTTTTTTCCTGGAAGAAAGTGATTGGAGTCGTGCTTACGCCAAGTTTTATCCAGGGCTATCTCAAGTTTTATCCCAGCCAACGCGGGGGCACGGTGCTAGCGGCTTTCTCGACGCCGACGAGTCGAGAACGACATAGGACGGGATACGGAGGGTCTACTATCTTTCGGTTCTCTACCCCGGTCCCGGTGTGTCCGCGTCGGCAATCGCCACTCGTAAGTTTTCTCATGCAATTCTCAATTTAATTCTTGCGGACTAACCTTGTCATTTGCAGTGCTCTTTGTCGGATGAATGGTGAGAGCGCCAGCATCTAATTTTACGATAATACCGACCGGGCTGAAGGGAGGAGGGGGATGGGAGAAAGAAGAGAGAGAGAGCCTACGGAGAGCGAACACACGCCTTCCTCTTCCCGGATCTGCGCCCAATCTTCTTCGAACCGGTTTAATACACTGCCAGTTCGGCGCTGCGCGACAAAAGACGCGAACGATGTCGGTAAGCTGTGTTCCTTCCTTCTTGTCCTATTCTTTTCTTTCTTGTGATGAAACGCACTGGGCTCTGAGGAATATTATTATATACCTCGATGTAATGCAATACGCTCACCGAGCGGCGGCCTAGAAAACCGTTAACTGACTCTTTTATTCTCTTCGCCTCTTCTTTTTCTCTGGAAAAGAATATCTACTGATGCACTCTTACCCTCTAGACTCTCGGCATCTCAAATTTTTTGCAACAATACCGACGAACGAGGGCTGAAAGGAACAGAGAAAGAAGACGAGACCACCTTCCACCGGCTACACACTCCAGCTCGGTGCTACGACAAAGACTGGCCCAGCAAACGCCCTCCCCCTCTCCCTGGTGGTGGACCATCCCGCTAACGACGGAGGTAAGTTCCCTTCCTTCCTTCTTTCTTCTCCTATTCTTTTCTTTCTCGTGATGAAACGCACTGGGCTCTGAGGAATATATATATACCTCGATGTAATGCAATACGCTCACCGAGCGGCGGCCTAGAAAACCGTTAACTGAACTCCTTTTATTCTCTTCGTCTCTTCTTTTTCTTTCGGAAAAATATTCACTTACTGCGCTCTTACTCCCTAGACTCCCGGGTTCCGTGCCTTGCTTTGCCTTGATGGGACGGGCGACATGACCGCTGCTCTTACTTCTCTACATGTACACCAACACAGACGCAGAGCTCCCCACCCCAATCGCAGTGGCCAAGGGCATCCCCCTCCCCCCTCACGACGCGCTTGAGCCGCCGCTCCTTCCACCTGCCCCTCCGGCCAGCGTCGGCCCGTGGCTGCCCCCACATCCCAATTGAGACACCCTGTACTGCGCGCCGAAATCTACGATGCCACTCGCAATGGTATCGTCTCTGTGCAACTGCGCTGGTCTCGCCTTCGATGCGTCTGCGCTCTTTCTAGACGACACTCGTACCCTTTAACACGGTCCCGGAGGCGCCTGCGGAGAATCTAGAAGCGTCTGTGATGATGGGAGGAGCTAGTGTGGCGCCGGTCGACTTGGCAATGCGAGAGAGACCGGTGATGTCGTTGCGTGAGGGGCTGGCTGGGGTGGGACAGGACGGGACGGGCGCAGACGTAGGAGGGCAGCACTAGGAATTCGGGTGCCGAAAAGCAACTTCGAAGCTACCCCTAGTGCTCAGTGGTCTGGTGGAGACAGTCTGGGAGGGCACCTGCGACGACAACCGTGCGCCTGCTGGTGTCGCTGCCAATCGATTACACATGCATGAACGATGATACTTGACAAAAGTCGCGTCCCCTTCAATACCTGCCTCCGTAGCTCCCCATGTCTGTGCCCGCAAGGCTTGTCCGCTTGGCTATTTCAAATCAAGACGTCGACAGGTGCTGATTCATGTTCCGGATATGAATGTGGGGGGTGGCTGTGTTCTCAAGCTTACAAGAACGCATGATGAGGCGGCATCCCGATCCTCCAGTCATCCATGGCATACACGGTGCCCCTCCTAATCAACGGCGAAGAGAAGATATCGAGTACGACCTTCCCAGTCGACTCGCCGCTCTCTCACACCACCATATGGTCTGCTCGTCTGCTTCCTTGGATGACGCCGATGCTGCTGTTGCCGCCGCCAGTGCTGCCTTCCCCGCCTGGTCCAAGACCAAGCCTGCCCAACGCCGGAACATCTTGCTCAAGGCCGCAGACCTTCTCGAACAACGCGCTGAGGAACTCAAGCTGCACATGCAACAAGAGACGGGCGCCGGCGAGATGTTCGCGGGCTTCAATGTGGGGACGGCGGCAGAATTCCTTCGCGACGCTGCAGGCAGGATCAGCGGTATCACGGGGAGCATCCCGGTATGCCAGGACGAGGGCACGAGTGCGCTCCTGCTGAAGGAGCCGTACGGCGTCGTCCTTGCCATCGCGCCCTGGTACGTCGGCAGCGCCTAGGACTAACACTCAACTCATCAAACCTCCCGCTAGGAAACGCGCCCTACATTCTCGGGGTCCGGTCGGTGCTCTTCCCCCTCGCCGCAGGTAACACCTGCGTGCTCAAGGGCTCCGAGCTCAGTCCGCGCTGCTTCCACAACATCGGTCGCGTCTTCACCGACGCAGGCCTCCCTCCCGGCGCGCTCAACATCGTCTACTCCGCGCGCGCCGACTCGCCAGCGCTCACCACGCAGCTCATCAACGCGCCCCCTATTAAGAAAATTAACTTTACCGGCAGCACCGCCATTGGCTCCGTGATCGCCTCTCTCGCTGGTAAGGCGCTCAAACCGTGCCTCATGGAGCTGGGGGGCAAGGCCGCCGCCATCATCCTCGACGACGCGGACCTCGAGCACGCCGCGATGCAGTGCACGCTCGGCGCGTTCGTGCACGCGGGCCAGGTCTGTATGAGCACGGAGCGCATCCTCGTGCACGCCGCCGTGCTCGACAAGTTCCGCCCCGCGCTGCAGGCCGCCGTCGCACAGTTTGCGCCGCCGAGCGGCCCGGCGTGCGTGCTCGCACAGAGCGCGGGCGTCACGCGCAATCGGGCGCTGGTGGAGGACGCGCTGGGGAAAGGCGCGAGCCTGCTGCACGGGGACCCCGCTGCAGAAGAGGCGCACGCGACGGAGCTGCGCCCGATGGTGGTCGAGGGCGTGACGCGCGACATGAAGCTGTACACCGAGGAGAGCTTCGGGCCGAGCGTCAGCGTCATTGCCGTGAAGGACGAGGACGAGGCGGTGGCGATTGCGAACGAGAGCGACTATGGGCTGAACAGCGCTATTTTCACGCGGGATCTGGCGAGGGGGCTGAGGGTTGCGAAGAGGCTTGAGTGCGGGTGCGTACTTTTCGGTGAAACAGTTTTTGAATGGATGCTAACGAGATGCTGCAGGTCGATACACATCAACTCCATGAGCGTACACGACGAGGCGAACCTGCCCCACGGTGGGGTGAAGAGCAGCGGCTGGGGACGCTTCAATGGGCAGTGGGGGCTCGAGGAGTTTGTGCGTATCAAGACGGTGACGTTCAAGGAGTGAGCGGACGGCCAGACGGAACCAGAGAATATCAGTGTACCATCCATATCAATGAAATATGTATATTCTGTGCTCCCAGTAAGAGCGGCCGGAGATCGATAAACTTCCAGCGAGCTCTTAGCCCAGACTTGTAAGTAGTACAGTCTGAGGTGGCGCTCAATGTACTCTGTGGGGTATTGCGTCGGAGGTTCTCGCCACTCGACGAGCGACATAGAGTGGTCATATTTCTTATCTGGATATATTTACGCTTACATCGATCCTCTAATGATACTTGGTCAATTAGAACCGCGAAACGCGTTCCTAGGTCGACGAATGGTCAGAAGGAAACAAAAAGTGTCGTAGCGACAAAGCATTCCCGCTAGCCGATTTGAACGACTGACCTCGTCATTGCTTTTACTAGTGACGCGCTCTACCAACTGAGCTAAGAGGGAGATATCGGTTTATGGTCGCCGTGATCTTTATCCCGAGTCATGGGAAGTATGAATGTAACCCAACCGAAATTCGCTAAAAACTATTCAGATCATTCAAAAATATGCTTACCCTATCTCGCGGGTAGAGCGGACCGACGAGTGATTGTAAGTCTCTTCTATCCGTGTCCACATCTTCGCGATCTTATGGAAGATTTAAATTCGACCCGGTGTTCCAATCTAGGCATCTGGAGTTGAACCCCAACCTCTACGAGGTCCAGCTTTGAAAATGCAGATAAAACAGGGTTTGTGCGCCACCGCAGGATCCTGGTGTTACCGTTGAATCCCGTAAATGTAGCCGGAGAATCAATAACGACTGAGACTCTGCGAGAAGATGTTGCTGGACGAAACGGTGCCAGACCAAACAGTATCCACACAATTTTGCATTGGCTTGAGATGCGCACTGTATATTTTACTTGCGCCTCGCGAATAGTGCACTCCTCTCCTCAAACGTGCCGCGCAATCGTATGGTTCCCACCTTTCAATTCTACAGAATTGCTCGAACTTGGCAGGCGGCTCTTGTTCACCGTCAGCGGCCCAGAGCCGGGGAGCGTCACCACACCCTCTGTCCCAGCAGGCACCTGCACGGTGAGTGTCAGCGTATCGCCGTCGACCGCCCATTTTACGCCAAAGAATCCAAGCCCCGTCGACAGACCGCCTTCGGCTGAAGGTAGTCCGCTGAGGACCGGCGCAATGCTCCAGGTCGCGCCTTGCGCGGAGGTTAACTGAATGCCGAGCAGGTGGAACGTCAACGCCGGGGTGGGACCTGTAATTTCGGTAAGCACAGAACGAACTGGTGACGAACAATCATGTATGGAACGTACCGGTCGACCACCCATGGGCGTGGCTTGTATACGACAGGTCATTGTCATAACCTGCGGCCGCACGGTACCTGTTCCGTCACACTGCTCAGAAAAACAAATTTGGTTTGCTCTAACATGTCATACCCGAGGGATCCGTTGGCAGTGAAGCCCTCGAGGAGGGTCGACTGCACGCTCAGATTCGTGTACAACATATAGCCCCACTCCTTTTCCAGGAGCTCGATTGCACGTTCGCCCTCGCCCGCGATGAAATGCGCCTGAACCTAAAGTTGAACCAGTGTCAATTGCGTTGTTCTAAAGCATCGGAATGTATCCTAGATGGGCACCTCAAATCCACCGACAAACGGAATAATCGTGTCAGCCAGTTCAGGGCTCAAAGGCCCGATTGGGGTCCAGTATTGTGTCAAGCCTTGGCTGATGGCTGAATTTTGCATAGGAGAAGTGGTCAAGTTGAACAGCACAGCAAGCGAGTTGCCATCTTGCGGATGAATGCTGTCTAGAGCGTCGTTGTCCCGGAACATGCCCGCGCTGGAGTCCCACAGAAGCGCATTGTAGGCGGCCTTGATGAGCGTCGAGTTTGCGAGATATACCGACGCCAAAGCCGTGTCTCCGACCTGTGTCGCGAGGTCTGAAGCGGTAACCAAGGTCTACAAAAGATAGTATTATTATCCGGCGGAAGATTGGCTGAACGTTGACTGACTCGGTAGAGCAGGGCGTTGAAGACGGAATTGTGGCCCACTCCGCCGTCTCTGCCCCAGTCATTCTGCAGGGCAACAGGCACGTCGGCGAGGCCGGTTTCGTCGACCTGGCTCTCCAGGAAGCTCACTGCCTTTGTGTAGTTCGCCCACACCTTCTGGACAAAGTCAAGATCTCCGGTATACAAGTAGTAGTTGTGTGTTCCGATGAGCGACCATGCGATGTATGTGTCGCTTCCCTGGGCGTTAATCGGAGGACCAGAGTAAGCCAATGCGCCAGTGGTGGGATCTTGCGTAGTGAACATCACGGTGAGCGAGTTCTTCGTCGGGAGAAGATCGTTGAGGGCCACCAATTCCGTGTGCGTTGAGATACCGCAATCCCCTACGCGGTTCGAAGTTATCTTCTGAGGCTACTAGGGAATTCAAAACAAAACACCTGGCCATATATTTCTGCTCATGAATTAGTCGTCGACGAAGTCGAGGAATATTTCGGAAACATACCGGTCTCGCTTCGCGCCGTCAACTAAGATCGGACCTTCAACAGGGCCGCCAGAAGCATCATTCGACCATCCGGCTAGAGGGTATCAGTGACCGGGATACACAGGCTCGGGATTTTTGACCCACTAGCAACGTTCTGCCTGGCCTGATGAGAATCTATTGTGTTGGTTTGAACTGTATATGCGCCTACAGACAAAGTGTTAACAGCGGGTTCAGCCTCCATCAAGATCCGAATATACCTGCGTACCACAACTTGGTCAGGAAATCGACGTCGTGGAAGCCCGGATCCGGTGCGTAGAAATATCCAGGGTAGGCCCTAAGATCGTCCCAGTGTGGCATGAAGGTGATCGCCAGAGAGATGTTCGAAATGGTGAGAGGATCGGCACTGTTTGAGACGATGGTCAGGAAACGGAATCCGCCTCGTTGTTGTCCGATTGTCTGTGTCAGTAACCCGGTCGTCAGAGGCGCGCGGAAAGATTGGACGCCATCTGCGTCCTGCGTCGACACCACATGGCAGGAATCGTCGGAGAGCTTCGGGTTGATGAATTGCGCAGATTCCGTGAACGAGAACGAGAATTGAGAGGACGCGGTTGCGTTGTTTATAGTCAAAGACAGAATGCCGCCGACCTAGAACGGGACCATCAGCACCAGGTGCGATGCGACTGGTAAAATACGCACTTCCTTGCCCCAGTCTAGGACCACGTAAGAACTGTCTCCGGTGAAAGTGGCCTGTGCACTCGAGTCTTGCACAAGACCGTCTGCACCTTCAACGGTTCCGCTAACGGTGCGAACCGACACAGGTTCACAACCTTTGATTCCGGAGCGTAGTTGAAGGCGTCCCATGGGTCCATTCGGCGCAAGAGCTGCGCACAGAGGTATCGAAATGATGAGGGGGTAAAAACGGGATAACATCTCCAAGCTGGGAGAAAATACGGCGAGGCGGCAGGTTGTGCCCGCTTTATAGGGAACGGAATCGTCATCCTTACAAGTAAGAGGTCAGGATTTTCGCTTCTGATAGTGATAGTGATAGTGATAGAATTATACACAGCATGGTCCAGCCTCTGAACACTGTGTTCCCAAGGGTATCCCAACGCGCACAAGCCTCTCGCGCCTTCGCCTTGGACCCCAACTACCCTACTTGACGAGCTATTCATTATCAGAACGTCTATCAAAAGTAGAATCCGAAGTGGTAAGTAAGAGAAACCGATTATTATGCTACGGTAGCATCAACCTGCGCAGGGTAAGAGCGGATGAAAAGGGGAGGCCTCTCCAATAGAGTGAGTGACTTTGTTGTGAATTTCTTGACCAGACCAGGAGGACACAGTCAATCAATTCCAACCCACCCTATGAGCTACACAGTGACTCAATTGCAACAGCAGAGAGACCAAATTCCGAGACTTATGCGTTGGAATATGGGGCTGCTGAAAGAGGTACTGTCTTCCTCTGTTTTTCTCTTCCTCGCAGGAGATACGATCTGGACGCGTCAAAACTTTCGATGAACCTGACGTGGTACACTCGAAATCGAAGTTTCAGTGCCGGCATGACGCGCCTAAAACGCAGCGATATTAAATGAGTTTCCGTGAACACGGGTGAGATTGTTGCTTGTTCTCGACGCCTGATAGAGTCTTAGTACTTGATTTGTACATATTCGAGCCACTTTCAAGGATTCGGGTCCGCTTTTGGAATGTTTGAATCCGTCGTGTCATGTACATTTCACGCGCCACACAAGGGCAACATGCCAAGTTTCGACCACAGGCCAAGCAACATCATTGTAGTTTCCCATGTTTTGCTTGCCTTTATCTCAATTTTCAAAAAGGATTATGATCATGAATGCCGAACACTACAGTACCTGTGCTCATGCGTTCGAACAGGTCATGGGTCGCAACTTGAACATGGCGCCGACTTCAGATCAATCACCATACGCGTCATCAAGATGTGATGTGTGTCATTGTCATTGTGCGGCGTTGGCGCCACGTCCATAGAGGAGAAGGTTGAAGAATTTCCCTCTTGATTTGAGTGCAGAGAGTCGGTGGCTGCTCGTCTTCTGATTGCGAAACGCTGCACGTGAGCCCCGGTTTTATTTTCTACCGGGTTTCCCGAATCCCCAAATCCAACGTTGGCGATCTCTAGTATACGTGATCTGAACGACTGTCTTCAGATTTCACGCCCGGTAGACTAGAGAGGCTGAAACGAGCCTACGTTGGCGACGGCAGACAAACGATAGATATCAACTTCTGCAATGGCTACCGCTTCCGGTGCACATGTTTCGAATTGAACTTCGACCATGACATTGGAAGCTTCAAGTTCAGGTCGGCCTTCATTTTGTTACTGCTTTTAAGTTTCAACATGCAACAGGAGGATCCTTTTCGTGGTCACCTCCGCACAGGCCAAACCATTTCTGCCGCTGAGGAATGTAAATCCTCACCAGTGTCGGGGGAAACCTAGTCTCTCGTAGACAGTGATGGCCCTAAGGCCTAAGGCTCTAGGTCAGGCCTTATACAAGACCCGGAAAAGTGCCGAGACAGGTGAGTACTGAGTAATTGTCTTCTGGCTTGGGGTCCGCGGTTTTGTGAGCAATGAAAGGGAAAGAAATGTACTTGAGTCGTGCGTCCACGTGACAGGCGCGTACACAGCGCGTCAGTCACGTGTAACACTGCCTCTCGCTTCCGAGCGACACCTCCTATCCAGTCGTCCACCAACTTTGCCAAGTCAAAGTCTCGAGCGGAATGGCGGTGGCGGCAGCGGCGTCTGTGATATGGATTGACAGCGATGCCGACGACGACTTCATCGAAATCATCGAGCGACCTACCCCGCGCAAACCCTTGTCGGTGCGCAAGCCCTGGCAGGACCATCCACAAACGCGAATACACCGAGAACCAACAAGAGCCAGAAGAAACGCCAGCGTGCCCAGTCGCCTGACGACTCAGACATAGAGTTTGTCGAAGCCACA